TGTTCCGTGGAGAAAAAGCCAAGACAGAAACCCCGCAGTCTGAACCACGGGGTCCCTTGCCACAGGACCGCAGGAAGAAAGTCCAGCGTTTAAGTCCCTCTCTAGAGACAAACCCGCACTGCGTGACTTACGTGCCCAGGTCAGACGGCTTGTTTCGTAGCTGCTCGATCAGCTCCCGGTAGGTTGGGTCAGCAAGCAGCACTTTAGTCCTGGGATCATTCTCCAACTTCTGATACAGATTGGGCATGTTGAAAGGGTTCATGAATTTCCTCTCTGTTCCAAGCAGAGAAAAGCAGAATTTGAGTCACTCAAGTCGCTATGCTCCACAGCCCACACAATGTCAGGGTGTGGAGGGACCCCTCAAAATGAATCCCTTGTAAAAAGTAACAAACGAACAGAATAGATGGTGCTTACCTGCCAACCGGGCCTCCATGTTCTGTAAACCTTCTTTGAGTTGAGGGTTACTGGCTTCATGCTTTAAACCTTCCTCATAGGTTCGCTTGGCTTCCTCAAATCGGTTTAAGAACTCAAGAGCTGCTGCTTTTCTCGAATAGCCCTTAAACCAGCAAAGACAGACAGAAAAGAAAGAACAGCAAAAGGTAAGTCTAGAAAATGAACTCAAAAGAACCTACTTTACATCTCATAAAATGGCTATTCACATGGTGCTCAAATAGAAGATTAAGGCATAATACTGAGACTAAGAATACATAAACTATGTCTTACAATGGACTCCATACAAGATTTGATGAAAATGTAACTTCTCTGAGGAGCAAACTCAAAGAGGGAGGATGAGAGGGCGCATGATGAACTATCAGTCAAGTGGGCAAGGCAATGACATGCAGTTGCGGGGAGTGGTGCTGGTGCCTTAAGTTTTGATCCAATCTCTGTTAGGCCCAGAGTCTCGTCAAAAGGGGAAAGCAGTAACTGAAACAAATGGAAGGGCTTACACCATGCCCCACCAAGGCTCAACGCCGACCTAACTCACCTCAGCCTCTCCCGAAGGTGGAATTTTAAACTAACCAATCTGGAATTTCCTGGCCAGCACTAGCAAGTGCAGCAGTGCCTTGTGACAGGCTACCCTGGCCGTCTGCTAAGGGGAGGTGGCTTTTACTGTGGAATCAGCTCTCTTGTCATATCCTAGCTTCCTCCTGACTATGAAAACCTTGCATTTCGTACACTCCTTGGACTTGCTAGCTGGGATGCTGCCTGGCACATGGATCACTGAGTAAGTACAAGACATTTCTGCAGGTCTGAAGAGCCCCTGCTTACCCACAGCTCACCTTGCCCCAGTCAGGCTTTAAGTCGACGGTCTTGCACCCATCCTCATAAGCCCGCTGGTAGTCCCCCTTCTTGGCATAGGCCGCGGAGCGATTGCTGTAGAGCACATGGTTCTGGGGATCTAACTTAATGGCTTCTGAGTAGCACTTCAGCGCATCGTCAATGTTACCAGCACTCAGGGCCTTATTGCCCTTCTCTTTCAGCTCATTTACCTACGAAGGGAAAAGCCAATAAAGCATCTCTCCACAGTATGCTGCTTCCATCCCAAGATTTTAGGTAACACTCATTCTTCCCTGCAGCTATCAACAAGTGGGTTACTTTAGAGATCCTGAGACAGAAATCACAGCACAATTCACTTGTATTTCCCATACCTCTGGGAACCAGCAGGGACAAAATGAAATGACCAGAAACACGAAGCCTGACTTTGCACTCCACAGGCTCCTACGTGGACTGGCAAGAATTCCAGCCATCAAGGAGATACTTAAAGAGTTCCTTTCATGGAAGAATTCATTTGCCACAGATTTGCAGAGTTCAGATGATAAACTAGTTCCTCCTCACAGGAAGAGGCAACTGGGAGGGCAGTGTGAGTGTGCGCTGATAGGTGGTCTAGCCCCCGGAGGCTTTGGGATGGGTTCCTCAAGAGCATCCACATGCTTGTTTGACCAGAGAAGAATCTATTTCCAGTCACAGGTGTGGTGACTCGTCACAACGTGGTAGGTTATCCTGGGCTGGGCTATAGCAGAGGGTCCTAATGAAAGGGGTTGTCCTAATCAGGATGCCCCACAGAGGAAGGAGACACCTCAAAAGTTGTTTTAAAAATGTGAACCCATTCTGAGAGATCAAGTTGTATCATTCAAGTCACTAAGCCATACTTCCGTTGCCTCTACCATGCCCAGTATACCTACACAAGAAAGAATTCTGGAGAAAGAAAGTATTTTGGAACCCTGAGGCACACCAATGGGGAACACTTCCTCGGTCAAGCATGACAGAGACAGCCTGGAAGAGGGAAGGCTGCACCTTGAACAAGGGAGTAATCTTAGGTGGAGGCCACAGGCAAAAATCCACACTCAACTCTCACTAGTACCAAGAGGAAGCTGACAACAAAATACATTTTCCAAACCGAGTACTGCCCTGTAACAGGCCATGACCTGGACTTTGAGAGGAGTAGAAGGCGCCAGGCGGCAGGGCCTGGCCACCGTAGTTTCCCTATGCGGAGGTATGGGGCCACGTGCAGAAAGCATCGCCATGCAATGTATTTGGAAGGTTACTTATTTTTTGATCTACCACTTTGGACACACTTATCTGTCCACCGTGAATATCTCCTCAAAGCGAAACATGGATCCCAAAGTGGAAAACTGAAAGCAAGAGCTAGAGAAGTGGCAGGTTTATCTGCAGACAGTCGGTTCTCACACCTGGAGCTGAGCGGCGCCAGCCCGTGTGCAAAGCTGTCACCGTCCACACGCAGCCCCAGCTTCCATCAGCCGCCGGTACCCTCTACCTGCACGCACCGCCCGTCAGGCAGCGCGGGTTCAGAAAAGTTTTTTTCGGTATTTTGCTAACATTGCACAACCCCCCCGCCCCCCGTGGCACAGCCAGTCTAATCCCAGACACGCGGTAACGCTCCCGAGGACCAGCCAGGGCTGACCGCCTCTCCATTTCCACGGGACAAGCCTTCTTAATTTGCCAAAGAAGCGCCAAAACTAGCTAAAACGGGCCCCGGCTGTCCCGGAGCGCAGGGGTTCAGCTTGCAGATAGGACCCCAAAAAGAGCTGTTTTCTCTTGCTTCTCTTTACAGCTCGACGATGCGCCCCACGAGCAAACCCCCTCGCAGCCCCTTCCAACCTCCAGGCCCGGCAGGATCCAACCAAGTCGCCGAGCGCGCCCAGAAGCCCCTTCCAGCCCAGCCCCTTCCCCGCAAAGGCGCGCGGGGGCCGACAACGTACTTCTCCCCGCTCCCCCCTCACGTGTCAGGGCGACTCCTGCCCCCCGCGGCGAGGAGCCGGCCTTTCGGGGGCCCCGCCCGCCGCGACGCCGGCATCGCGGGCGCGCAGCCCCTCCGGGACGGACGAGGGGGGCGCGCGGCTGCCGCCCCAGCCCGGGGACGGAAGGACGCGCCGCCCGGCCCGCGCTCGGCGGCGCCTCCCGCCCGACCCCGCGGCCGCGGGCACCGCGTTTCCGCCTTGGCCGCCGCGTCCCGCAGCGACTCCCGGCGCGGCCGCGGCCCGGCCCCCGCGCTCCGCCAAGTTAACTGCGGCCAAGTCCCGGCGGCCTCTCCCGGGCCTCCGAGCTCGCCCCGCCCGGCAGGACCCGTCCCGCCGCGCTCCCGCGCCCCGCGCCCCGCGCCGCCCCCGCCCCCCGCCGGCCGGAGTCGCCCGGAGGCCGCCGGCGCTCGCCGCCCGCAGCCGGACGCAGGCCGAGCCGGCGCCGCCGCCGACCCTCCGCGCCGGGCCCGCGCCGACCGGCGCTCCCGCGGCCGGGCCTCGCTCCCCGCCCCCCGCCCGCCCGCCGCGGCCCTCACGCCCTCGCCTCCGCCGCAGCGCGGCCCGCGCCGCCCGATCGGCCCGCCCCGCCCCTCCGCCCGCGGCCCGGCCTCGCCCGGTCCCCGCGGCCCCGGGCCCCACGCCTCAGCCCGCCCCTCCCCCTCACCTGCTCCATAGCCGGGCCCGGAACCGCGTTGAATCGACTCCGTCCTCTCCGCGTTCCCAACCGCACGCGCCGCCTTCTGGAACCTACTAGAAGCTACCGGGACCCCGGGATCCCGCCCCTTCCTCGCCTGCTCACTGGTCGCCCTCCTCTAGGGGGCTCCCTGTACTTCCCCACTATTGGCTTGAAGCCTAGCCCATCATCTCTGCTTCCCTCTCATTGGGCAGTGCCGCGTAATCCCGCAGCCCTGCCTCCTCCGCGCCTCAGGATTGGGCTCTCCCCCTCAAGCCCCGCCCAGCCCAGGCCCTACTATTGGAAGGGCGGGGCAAACTTCTGAGATAGTAATTGGTCTTGTGGTCTGTCCATCGTAGCCGCGCTGGCCGCGCCCATTGGTCCTGTTCTTTCTGGAAATTTCCACCTCTCCCATTGGGCTGAAGGAGTCCCGGACGGAACCGCCTTCAGATTGAAGAACATTTCGATTGGGTGAGCGCTGCCAACACTTCGCGCTGATAGGTTTAAACGGCTGCCCTTCAGCGGGCTGGGGGATTCCGCCCGGCGGTGCTTTGTGGGAACCCGAGGCCCGAGTCATCCCCAACCGCGGCGGCTCCGCCGGGCCGGCTACCGCCAGCGCCAGGGCCCTTCATTGACCCTCCGGCCCTTCGCGGGGGCTCGGGGCTCCCAGATGGAGGGGGGACGGCCCCGCGGGCTCGGGCGCGCTCCCCGGCGCGTCCCCGCCGCCCGCTGTCGCGCGGTGGGTGCCGGAGGGGCCGCGCGCGGGGACGGCGCCGGGTCCGGGCGGGAGGGCGCGGGGTCTCGCCCGGCCGCGGGGACGCGCCCCCTCCCCGAGCCCCCGGGTAGAGGCTCGGCCACTGGCGCCGTGGGGGCCCCTGCCCGCGCCGCGGCGAGCTAGCGCGGGGCCCGTTATTCCGGGGACCCCCACCCGGCGCCCGACCACCCTCTGGCGAGCGGCGGGCTGGACGGCCCTGGCCCCGCGCGAGGGCGGAGGCCGGCCGGCTCCTGGGGGGGCGCGGGGCGCCGCCGCGGGAGAGGAGCCTGCGGGGTGACAGCGCCGGGTTCCCGTCTGCACCCGTCCGTGTGCGGCTCCCCAACAAAGGCGCCCTTCACGAGTTCGAGGACTCCGGGGGGCGCCTTGGCCCTGCGGGACCCTTCCCTCCGCTCGCGGGCTAACAGCACCCCCCCTAGGGTTCGGGGAGCCCGCTCCATGCCAGTGACTCGTCCCCGGCCCCCCTCCCGCGGTCTGGACCCCGCAAGCCAAGCCCCTGCCAAAGCGCGTGCTCGGCAACCCCGTCCCTGGCGGGAAGCGCAGGCGGCTTCAGGCGCCTCGGCGTGGGTCTGGTGGGCGGGCCTACTTTCCCGCCTTTTCTTCGCTGTCCTTCACCTTCAGCACCAAACTCCAGCCCCAGGGACATCTGGGCTGGTCCCTGCTCCCTGGGCTTGCCGGGACCCCCCTGTGGCTCACGGCCAACCCGTCCTCTAGGCTGCCGCGCTGTGCGGGGTCCTTGGCAACCCGCTCCCCAGCCCCTGATTAGTGTCTCCGCTTCTTTCACAGCAGGGGGGCAGCCCTTGCCCCACCCCAAGTTTAAGCATCAGCGGCACATCTGGTGTGGCCCACCAGGCGCCTGGTGTCTGTCTCCCTGGCAGGCGGGTCGCTACCCCATCAGGTTCCCGAGGCCCTGTGTGTATGTTGGGGACACAGAAAAGTGCAGGGAGCTTGACAGATCAGTTCCCTTAGCACTGCGGCTCAGGGAGACTAAGGGCCGTAACAGGATAGCTGCTTCAGGGCAGAGGGGAAAAACCGGGTTCAAGGAGCACTGGGGGTGTGGTACTGTCAAAGGGGGTGCAGGCAAACCTCAGAGGGAAGCTAGAAGAGCGAGGGAGTGTTCATGGAAAATCTGGAGAAGAGCCTGGCAGTCGAGGAACAGCAAAGGCCCCTGGCATGGCCCAAGTGGCTACAGCAGGGTGACAGGACGCCGGCCGGGCTGGGAGAGGGACCTTTGGAACCTGCTGGCATCAGGATCCCTCTGGCTCCCACATGTGAAGAGAGTGAGGGCGAAAGTAAGGAGCCCTCCGTAGTCCAGGAGGAGCATGCGGGTGCCAGGGCCAGGGTGACTGCAGAGGAGGGATGAGAAGAGCATTCCAGGTACATGTTGGAGAAGTTGATGGCTGGACGCAGAGCAGGAAGGAAGGAGCTGACTCAGGCTTTGGCCTCTGTCCACCTGTTGAATTTAAATCTGGCCACTGGGCCTTCTGCCGCTGTCTCCACGCCGCCGGACCTTGCCAGTCCCTCTGCTCTTCCCGTCTCCGGTAGCCTTTGAGACCTTCCAGCATCTTGCCCGCCGCCTCTCCCAGCTTTCCTGCTCCTCCCTCTGCGTGACCTGGCCTTCTCTCCCACTCACCTTTTTTTTTTAGAGTGATTTATTTATGCATACAAGAACTGGGGTACAGGCCAGAGTTGTGGGGGTGAGAGGATTCACCAGAGACAGTGGGGATCAGAACAGGCAGACTGACTGAAATACGGTGCTGAGGGGAGCAGCGGGCGAGTCAGGAGGTCTGCTGCGCCATGTGGGTAGCTCCCTGGCCAGGGATCGAACTCCAGCTGCAGTGGCTGCAGACAGCTTCATAGGTTGCGTCTTAACCCCTTGCACCACCAGAGAGGCCTCCCATTCACCTTTTTATCCTACTTTGTGCTCTGGTACCGGGGCTCAGCAGCGAGCATGGAGGCCCACAGACACCTCTGCATCCCTGGATCTTTTCTAGTGGGAGAGACTTGACACTCAAACTCCTCAATTGTGTGACTTCAAGCAACCTCCTCTAACATCTCTGCTTGGGTCCTTTCCATTTTAAAATGGGCCTTCCTCAGGTCTCTGGCACCCAAAAAGGAGTGGCAGACGGGTCCTGTACCCACTGCGTGCCGCTTTGTGTGATTCATGTTGCTATTTCAGTGCCGCTGCTCTCAAGTGGGGAACCAGAGGACAAGGCTGTTTGGCATCACCTCATTCTTAGACCATCACTCATGCAACCAAGGCGAGACCGGAAGAGGTCAGCGTTGGGGACCGGATTCTTTGCAGAGCAAACGCCCAATTTCAAAGTTCTCCCCGTATCAGGAGAAAAACAAAAAGCAGCTGGAGTCAAGGACGCTCAGCACGGGAGTGAGTGGGCCAGGGGCGGGTGGCAGCCCAGGACGCTGGAAGTTCTGTTTTTATGGGAACAGTCACTGTCGGCGTGGGAATTTAGACCATCTGAGTTTCCTTCCTCAGGTGAGAATGAAGTCCCGTTTTAAAGTTCTGAGAGATTCCGATAGGATGTTTTCATTCCTCACTTGCCTGAGTGGGTCAGACTCACAGCTATCTTGCGGCGAATCTGAATCCTGACCAGCGGGGGAAGCGTGGGGGGTAATAAAATGCCGTTAAGTTCTGTTTAATTCAGTGAACTTGAACAGAGAGCCGGGCACTGTGCCAGATGCTTCAAGGAATGAAACGATGGTAATTATTACCTGATTATTATTCATCAGAGCGCCCTAGAGCCCAGTCCGGGGCCTTGCTAACCACGCCCCCTCCCAGGGTGAGCGAAGCTAGTCTCGTGGCTATAAATACCAGTGGAGCAACACCCCCATATCTATCCTCAGCCCTCATCACCTTACCCAGATCCAGACTTGTCTGCCCACGTGCCTCCGTGATGCCTCCACTGGGATGGCTGGTGGGCTTTTCAGCATGCTCCAATCCGAGCTCCTGAGCTGGCCCTCCTCAACTTCCCTCTCATGAGCGTCCTCACCTTGGATCGCTTCAGGCTGAAAATTTGGAGGCATCTTCTCTCCTTAAACACCTGGCATCCAGTCCACCAGCAAATACCACTGCAGGGGAACAAAATTCTACCATCCTAAAATATGTCTCTGGCATATGGATTATTTCATGGGGCTCTGAAAGCTGGGGGGAGGTATTTACGTGCTGTAAGGGGCAGGAGGACACGGGGCAGGTTTTCTGTGATTCTATGCAGACAAGGTAAAGGAGGGGGGAGCCCTGGAGCCCTCAGTGGCTTTTCAGGCTTTTATTGGGATTTACCAGGTACACGGCTGGCAAGGGGTGCCAGAGGGCTGGGAGGCTGGCAGGTCTTCACTCTGGGTTCTCTGGTGGTCTCTGCTGCTCTGCTCCTCTCATGGTTCTGCTCGGCTTCTTCGTTCTGCTTCCCTCGGCTTCTCTGCTCCTGCTGGTGTCCCCGTGACGTCGCCCTTATAAGCCCAGCCTTAGCCCAGGTGAATCCCATTTACATATGCCCACACCGTGCTCCAGGTGGCCGCCGTCAGGCATGCATTTGAGACCACAAGGTTCTGTCATCTATCCTAATGGCGGGAGCGCAGAAAAGCCTGATACTCTTTACCTTACACTACACGTGCATAAACAAAAATCATCTGCAAAGGTGTTTCCTTGGCTGAACCTGTAAGACCAAATCTCTTCCACTCTCGCTGTAATGGCGGGAATGACGCAGGGCAGGTTCTCTATGATCCGAGCAGGCGGGGTAAAGGAGAAGAGAGTCCTGGAGGCCTCGGTGGCTTTTCAGGCTTTTACTGGGATTTACCAGGCACACGGCTGGCAGGGGTGCTGGGGGGCCGGGAGGCTGGCAGGCCTCCCAGCCCCCAGCAAGTCTTCACTCTTTCTGGGCTCTCCGGCCTTCTCTGGTGGTTCTGTTCTTCCGTTCGTTCTTGTTCTGCTTCTGCTGGCGTCCCCGAGACGCCGCCCTTAAAAGCCCAGTCTTAGCCCAGGTGAATCCCATCTACCTACGCCCACACCCTACTCCAGGTGCCCGCCATCAGGCATGCACTCCCAGCCCCCCAGCCAACACCCCTGCCTGCCATATGTCTGGTGAACCCCAATAAAAGACCTGCAAAACCACTGCAGACTCTGACTCCTCCTTTACCTGGTCTGCATGGGATCAGAAAACCTGCACTGTGTCCAGTCCTGCCTCTACAGTCAGTTTTTACCCGGGAGGTATATGTTATTGTTAAACCCTTTTGGTTTTTTCCTTTTGTCAATCTGTTTGATGTTAATCTGACAGCCTAGAAAATCAAGAAGGGCAAGGGAATCTTTTCCTCTCTTCCCCCCTCCCCAATGTGCTGTCAGAGATGGAATAACACATTGCCTTGTCAACCTAGAAATTCAGGAGCCGAGTAATAAAGGCAGGGCACGCCTTTGTAGAAATCAACAAGTGACAATTTGGGTACATGGAGCCCAAGGAGGGGGAAAGAGGAAGATGAGGCAGTGGGTAAAGGAAAGAGTTGAGTAGTCGTAATAAGCTTACTTCAACTATTCTTGGTTATACATCAGTGGTTACTGATTCTCTAGAACAGATGAAAGGGAACTTATTTTATCCTCAAACTACAGGTTCATAGTCATCAGTTTTTTCAGAATTATTTGTTTGATGGGTTCTTAAAACAATTGCTTCAGGTCCAGGCCAAAGGTCTTTGACCCAGTTCAAGTCAGACAGGTGATGGAATGTCCAGGAATGGCTCCCCGCCTCCTTTTAAAAAATGGCTTTAGGACCTCCCTGGTGGCACAAGGGGTTAAAAAGCAACCTATGAAACTGTCCACAGCCTCTGCAGCATGAGTTTGATGCCCCTCCAGGGAGCAACCCACATGGTGTGGGAGACCTCTCCTGACTCACCCGCTGCTCCCCTCAGCAGTGTATTTCAGTCAATCTGTCCTGTTCCCCTCTCTGGCCCTGGTAAATCCTCTCACCACCACCCCAACACCTCTGGCCTGTACCCCAGTTCTTTTATGCATAAATAAATAAATCTTTTAAAAAATTGGTTTCACAGTTGTCCACTTCATGGCTGACACCTCTTGCTCCTGAACTTCCACCGTGGAAGAGATCTTGTGACTTCTGACAAAAAGCTTACAGAGGTAAACATTTTCTTTTTAACCAAACCAGCTTCCTGGATCTCCATCCGTGGGATCTGGTCACAGGGAGAAATGATGGGATTTTTCCACCTTTCTATATTATAAAATTGGCAGGAAGAATTTTAGTGGAACTAGTTCTGGGGTAGAATAACTCTTGATTTTGAGTATTCTTGGTTTTTTTTTTTTTTTTAGATCTATCTATCTATCTATCTATCTATCTATCTATCTATCTATCTATCTATTTATACAAGCGCTGGGTACAGTCAGAAGCGCGGGAGGGTGAGAGAATTCACCAGAGCCAGAGCGGGGAGCAGAGCAGGCAGAAGGACCGAAGTACACTGCTGAGGGGAGCAGCGGGCGGCAGGAGAGGTCTGCGCGCCATGTGGGACCCTCCTCCGGTGGCCAGGGAGCAGCCGGGGATCGAACCGGCGCTGCAGAGGCTGCTGGCAGTTTCACAACCCAGCGCTCAACAGCTGTGCCACCGGGGAGGCCTCATTCTTGGGTTTTTAAGGGTTTTGTCCTTAATTTCCCTCACAGAGAAGGTCTTTGTTTTTCTGATTTTTGTGCTATGTGTTGCTTGTCTTAAAGAGGGAGCACCAGGGGCCTCCCTGGTGGCGCAGAGGTTAAAGATACAGTGCTATCAGGCTACCCCAGCCAACGCAGCATGAGTTCAATCCCCAGCCAGGGAGCTGACCCACATGACGCAGCAGACCTCCCCTGTCTTGCCCACTGCTCCCCTCAGCAGTGCATTTCAGTGCCTGTTCTGCTCCCCACTCTGTCTCTGGTGAATCCTCTCACCCTCCACATCTCTGGCCTGCATCCCAGCTCTTGTATGCATAAATAAACAAATCTTTAAAAAAAAAAGCACAAATCTGGTGGGCACAGGTCAGGTGTCGAAAATTATTTAGATGCTTGCTACCTCAAGAAGGCACCAGTGATAGGACAAGTGGGTCACTGAATGGGTTCGACTGGCACTAAGCCATCTACCAACATGAAGGAAATTTCTGTGTCGTGAGGTACACCATAAAATAACAACGTAATCCCAGCCCTGTGGCATGTCCCACATAGGTAGTCTGACTCCAAGAGGCCGAAGGCTGTTCGCATGTATGTCAGAGGAAAAAAGAAACTCAGATGAATTTTTTTCCTTTTGTTTTATGCATGAAGAGCTTGGCTCTGTGACCTCTTTGGTCTCCACCATTTGGAAGGAGCATTTATGGGAATGTCCTCTGGCAGCTGGTCAAAAATTGACTGGGCTTTCCCAGGCAGTTAAGGCTGTGGCGGGGCAGGTGCTGGTGCTGGACCTCCACGGGGAGGCATCCCCTGGGCCGCCTGGTGGCTGAAAGGTATTGGTTATAGGCTGCAAGTGCATTAGCATTTCTGGCAATTTCTACACAAACCAGGTCAAGTCCCTGGCCTTCCTCCACCAGCAGATGAACGCTAAAACCATGGCTGGTCTGTCAGCTGGGCGTGGTTAACTGTCTTGGGAGCTTGTTTTCACAGAAGCGATGGGGTGTGGCGCTGCTCCTGTGAGTCATGCGGGCTGTATGTGCAGTCATTGATCAGAAACTAAACTTCAAGTTGGCCAGAAGCAAGAGTCCATTGACATGGAACCAAGAAGACAAGAAAAGGGCCCGGCTGGACCGCCGACAGAAAGGAAGGGGTCTGTCCACCAGGAAGACCCAGTCATCTGAAAGATCTCCCCTCTCTTGGACAGATGAACTATGCGATAAACTGTAGCCAAGTCTCCATTGCTTTGCCCTCAGCTTGTAGCCTGCAAAATATAACTCCTCTGTTCTCAGCCCCAATCCCCCGAGATCAGGATAAACTCCTTCTCTCCCCTGGGTGGGAAGGCAGATTTGAGCTTTGGCTCCTATCTTCTTGCCAGGCAACTCCAAAATTAAACCCTTTGCTCTCAAAATGCCTGTGTCATAAAATTACTTCTTTGTGTATCAGGGAGCCGTCTTGTTGGCTCAGCATCAACCAACCCATCCTATGACCCCAACGCTGCTGAACCCCCGGCTGCATCTTTTGTTGGACCAAGTGTTGTAGAGCAACCCCGATACAAAACGGGGTGCCTGACTGTGGGTCCTCACCCGCGCGCTTAAAAGGACTTATCCATGCTCTACTGCAGGCACACGTGAAAGGTTAATAAAAGGTTTATTTACAACGGAAAGGGAAATGAGGAAATGTACAGCTCTGGGAGAAAAGTGGGAGACAACGTTTTAAATGCGTCCTACCCGATCCGCCGATCAGGAATCCCAAAATGGCGCTCTCAGAGTTGGCCGCCAGCCAGGAGCGGTGAAGCCAGGAGGCGAGCGATCGCGAGCCAGAGAGCGAGCAAGGCCCACGTGTTTGGTTTTTATATCCAACCTGGCTGCCCAACTCCACCCTCAGGTCCCAGCCACCCTCCCCTTGGTGGTGATGGGATTTGTCTTTCCCAATGTCCTGATGGCTTTAGTCTGGAGTGGGGGTGGAGTCCACAAAGCCTGTATGAGATTATCTCAGGACATCCTTTCCCCCTAACACAAGCAAGCAAGGCCTGCTGCCCCACAAGCCAGGGAAGGCCAGGCCACCCCAGAAAGCCTCAAAGGATTTTCCTGCCCTATGACATGAACCAGCAGATGGTGGCTCCTGCTACCCTCAAGGTTGTGTTTCCGCAGCCGATGCAGAACTAGGCCTTCCCAGGGCACTGGGCTCATGAAGTTGCCTAGTCAGTCACCCTGGAGGAGAAGGAGGAGGCCCAGGTCAGTTACTAGAAGGAAAACCAGCTAACAAGTCCACAGACACAGGCCAAAAAGAACATGGAAAAGAAAAAGGACAAGTTCACAGAGGGCTTCAACACGCAGGGACTCCTGGTCCCAGCCCAGTAAAATTCAGTTAATACCCCCCACTCCCACAACTTCGGGAGCAAAACTTTCAACCCCCAGATAGTTCCCTTTGCATAAGAATGATTTCACAGGACAGGCTCTGAAAGCTGGGTGGAGGCTGCTGTGTTATAAAAGGTATTTATGTGTATAAAAGAAAGTCTTTCTAAGAGTCTCTCCCTCCCGCTCCAGGACAAATGAATCCTAACAGAGAAGACAGCAAGTTAAATCTGCACGCTAGACATACCCTTGTTTACTGTGCTTTGCCAGGTAACTTCCCATTAACTGACCTTCCCTCCCTGTCCTTCATCTTTAGCTGAAGTTATTTCAGGAGGTGACTGTTTACTCTTGGAGGGTCCCTTAGCTCAGCTGGGAGTCTCCTGGGGCCTGCTCTGGTGTGAAATCTCTGTTCTGTCACAGGAAGACCCGCAGCAGTGGTCTCACCTCACTGTGCTCAGCCAGACAACATGGTGAATCTGTCTCTCTGGGTGGCTTTGTAGCCTGGAAATATGTGGAAGTGGGTGTAGGGGAGAAGGAATCTGCCACCCGGAAATGTCTTTATGTGAAGCCTAGTTTCTTGGGAGGGGCTCTGACAGCTATGTGGAGGTTGCTTTTGAAAAAGACATTTACATGTAAACCTCTCTCTGTAAAGACCTACTTTTTTTTTATTTATTCATGCAAGAACTGGTGTGTAGGCCAGAGGTGCAGGGGGTGAGAGGATTCACCAGAGACAGAGTGGGGAGCAGAACAGGCAGATCTACTGAGATACACTGCTGAGGGGAGCAGTGGGCAAAACAGCAGAGGTCTGCTGCGCCATGTGGGTAGCTCCCTGGCCGGGGATTGAACTCATGCTGCAGTGGCTGCAGTGGCTACACTGGCTACAGTGGCTGGAGATAGCTTGATGCTGCTGAGATTTTAACCCCTGCACCACCAGAGAGGCCCTGTAAAGACCTACTCTTATCTCCCCTTGAAAAGGCAGAACTTAAATCTGGATACCTTTGTTTGTTGTGTCTTCCTCAGTAAACTCCTTACCTGACCTCCTTCTTTTCCTCCTCCCCACCCCCCTTGCCTTTGTCATGTGAGATGGCAGCTGAAGCCTGGTGGCCAGGAACCAAGTCCTCTGGGTCTCTTCCCTGTATACAGGCGGAATACAAGTTATTTTATTTTTTTTTTTTAATAGAGGCATGTTTTATTTATTTATTTATTTATTTTATTTTATTTTTTTTTGTTTATACATGCACTGGGTACAGTCAGAAGCGCGGGAGGGTGAGAGAATTCACCAGAGCCAGAGCGGGGAGCAGAACAGGCAGAAGGACCGAAGTCCACTGCTGAGGGGAGCAGCGGGCGGCAGGAGAGGTCTGCGCGCCATGTGGGACCCTCCTCCGGTGGCCGGGGAGCAGCCGGGGATCGAACCGGCGCCGCAGAGGCCGCGGGCAGCTTCGCAACCCAGCGCTCAACCGCTGCGCCACCGGGGAGGCCCCAATACAAGTTATTATGAAACTTTTTAACTTTTTTCTCTTATCACTTTGTCTGGTGCTTGTCAATTTGCCAGCCTAGAAGAACCGGGAGGTATGCTCAGGATGAGTTCCTTTGCACTCTGACACTGACAAAGCAAACCTAGTATGTTGTTATCAGTTTAGCAATAAGTTTTGTAATCACTGTGCTAATAGCTGTGTCTTCACTCAGGTTTTAAAATACTTGAGTCAATTTGCTCTATTTGATTTGTGATTTTCATGAGCGGCCCTGTTGCCAGGCTGCTGCAAAGATGGCTGTAATAGGCCCCCCACCCCTGGGTGCCTGTCCTGTGCCACGGGATTTGTCTGCTCTTCTCACTTTGAGGTGGAATTGACTTCTCCACTCCCTTGAATCCGGTTGGCCTTGAGACATGGCACTGAAAGGCAGGACCACGTAAATTCTGTGCAACAGAATGTAGTGGTAGCCATGGAGGGAATTCCGGTCAGGCCTCGAGGCATCCTCTTAGAGCAGGGCCTAGAGATCATCATGCCGTGAAGATGCCCAGTCAAGCCTGTTGGAGGATGAGAGGCTGTGTGGAACAGACCCAGGGGCCCTGCCGAGGGCCAGCACGGAGTGGCAGTGGCGTGAAGCACGTGAAGGAGATGATCCCGGAGCCGCCTTTGGGTTGTGAGCCCCTGCAGCCATCGAGTGACCCAGGTCAGACCAGCAGACAAACTTCCAGCTCACCTCAGCCCCCACTGTGAGCTCAGCTCTGGCTGTCATTTTCAGCCAGTTTTCAGTGGTTTTATTACACGTCAATAGATAACTAAACAGTGTGAATGAATCTAAGTTCATAAATAGTGTTGGAATATTGGGAACGAATTTACTGTGTTTTGAATTTTAATAGTATGTAAGAGTGGCTTAATTGATTGGGGGGAAAAAAATGTTTCACTGGGGCAGAATAAGGTGGGTTTGGAGGTGGAGGGTGAGGGTTGGGCCTATTCTATGTGAAGGGAAGAAAAATACATGTTTGCGTGAACTCTTTTTTTTTTTTTTTAAAGATTTATTTATTTATTTATACAAGCCCTGGGTACAGTCAGAAACGCAGGAGGTTGAGAGAACTCACCAGAGCCAGAGTGGGGAATAGAACAGGCAGACCTATGAAATACACTGCTGAGGGGAGTAGCGGGCATGGCAGGAGAGGTCTGCGGTTTGTGTGAATCTCTTCTGCTGAGAGTTTAAGGTGCTTGAGAGGGCCAGCTCTTTTGACTTTAAAATGTAGTTTAAAATCTATTAGCGGGCCTCTCCAGTGGCGCAGGGGTTGAGCGCCGGGTTGCGAAGCTGCCGGAGGCTGCCTCTGCAGCATCGGTTCGGATCCCCGGCTGCTCCCCGGCCACCGGTGAGGGTCCCACATGGCGCGCAGACCTCTCCTGCCGCCCGCTGCTCCCCTCAGCAGTGTACTTCGGTCCTTCTGCCTGCTCTGCTCCCCGCTCTGGCTCTGGTGGATTCTCTCAGCCTCCCGTGCTTGACTGTACCCAGTGCTTGTATAAATAAATAAATAAATAAATCTTTAAAAAAAAAAAAAAACTCCAAAAAAAATCTTAAAAAAAAATAAAATAAAATCTATTAGGGAATTTAATTACCTAAGTTTGTAATTGGCATTCATTTTCATAATCTGTTGAACCTGTGAGTTAATTAAATATTCATCACAGAATAAGTGAAAGTAATTGTTCTTATTTTTATCCCAAAATGAGTGGATTTAGAAAGAGAAAACAAGATTTGCAAGTTGCACTTGGTTGTTTAAGAAAAACGAAGCCTTTAAAAAAAGTATAAGTTTAATAACTACGGTATTAATTGAAACACAGCAGCAATCGCTGGCTTTTCTCTGCACAAGTCCCTTCTCCAACATTAAAAATCAGCAGCCCCACTGGCAGATCCAGGCCTGGCCCTCCCCACACCTTTGGTATCTGTCCAAAATTTACCTTTTCCAAAGGTACATGTGGAGACTCTGTGAAGAGTCCCCGTGGCCCAGTGGGAGTCATGTCCCTGCTCTAATGATCCCCAAGACCCCAAGCATGGAGGGTTGCGAGTTGCCGTTTTCCCTGTCCCCGACTGCCCTGTTGAGAACGAGCTGGTTCTCAACAATGAGAAGCAGGAGGTACAGGTGCTGGGGTTCCAGAGCCCAGGTGCAGGGGGCAGGGCAGCCTCCTGATTGGGGACAGTCTGGCGGGCTCTCCCAGTATCCTCTTCCCCAGACATTGCTGGGCTGCGGGAGCCAGAAAAGACCCCCTCCCAGTGTCTCCAGGCTGACCTGTGACTGTAAGAGCTGGGTGGAGGGGCGAGTTAAGGTGGCAGAATTGGTCTGCTACTCAGCCTAAATAGGGAGATTCTCAGGGATTATTCCAGGGGACCCAACACAGTCACAGAGTCCTTGAAAATGGAAGAGGGGAGCAAAAGAGCGGACTGTGGAAGTGGGGTCAGAAAGAGGCAACGTCGCAGGTGCCAGGTGACCCGGGCCAGGGGCCTGCTACTGCACACTGAACCTTTTCGCCAGAGGGTGCAGGCCTTGCCAGTGGTCTGGAATGTTGGGGGACCCTGGGCCCTTACTTCCTGTCCCCTACTTTCTGGTCTCCCCTCTCTTTGCCTTCATTTCCTGGGCTGAGCACCCCCCCCCCCCTGCTGGCGGGCAGGTGTCCTACCCCCAGAGTAGCGCCGGCAGCATCCCTGGGACAGACCCGCTGACCGACCCCTCAGCCCTGTCCAGGGTCATCGCCGCACTCGGGGGGCCTGCGGCGCAGGGCAGGTCTGTCCCGGCCAGAGCGCGGGCCTGTCTGATTCCCGACTCCTTTGCCCCAAGGTGGCAAAGCTGGTGAATGCGAGGGAGGGGGTGTCCCTGGCGCCTGTCCCTAGGGATTAAAATACGTCCTTTATATTTCTCAAGGACTAGGAATCGTACAGACAGATAAAATACTATGCTAAGAGCCCACCTCACCATCTCTGCAAAAAGTTAGGGAAAACAGAGAGAAAAAAGGACACCCCAATCTTTCCAGGGAAGAACGCCACGTGGCCCTCAAGTTTTCCGTCTTCAGATTCCGCTCGCGCACCCCGGCCTCCCCGCGACTCTCCGTGCGGAGGCGGCCGCCCCGGCCCCCCCGCCCCCCAGCCCCCCAGCCCCCCCGCCCGGGCGGCAGCGGCTCCGCGGCCCGGGAGAGTCGCCGGCCCGGACCTGCCCGACCGTTCGCGCCGCTCGTTCCTCCGCCCGCCCGGCCGGGACCCGCCACGCCCGGGGACGGGGTGCGGGACGCGGTGCGGGACGGGGTGCGGGGCCGGCCCAGGCGGCAACACGCCCGCGCGCCCGCCGGGGTCCGGGACAGGGACGGGCCGGGGCGCGCCGGGCGGGGCGGGGCGGGGCGGGCGCCCGAGCGCGGGGGCGGCGCGGGGCGGGGCGCGGTGGCGGGCGGAGTCCGGGCGGGGCGCGCACGTGTGCACACAGGCGGGGGGGGGGGGGCGCCCCGCGGCGGCGGGGACTACAAGTTCCAGGGTGCCCAGCGGCGGCTTTTCTGGCGGCGCGGCCCGCCGGCTCCGAACTGGTCGCCGCGCGCTGGCGCTGGCGCGCGCCTCCCTGGTCCACAGGGAGACACTTGCCCGGCCGGTGCACAGAGCCCAAGTGGGCGGGGAGCCGCGCCGCCTGCCCATGCCTCTGCGGGGCCGCGTGCCCGGCCGCCTGGCTCAGCTGCGCGCGGCGGGGCAGCTCCTCCGCGCCCCGCGCGCCTGGCCCGGCCCCTCGGCGGGAGCCGCGCGGACCCGCGGCAGCGCGTGCAGCCCCCCGCCGTCCCGGGGCCCCCGCGCGCGGCCCCCGGCGGGAGTTGGGGCGGGGGGGGCGGCGGCGGGGGGGCGGACGGCCGGGGTGCGCACCTGGGCCCCCCTGGCCATGGCGGCGAAGGTGGACCTGAGCACCTCCACCGACTGGAAGGAGGCGAAATGTAAGTGTGAGCCGGGGCGCGAGGAGCGCGGCGGCCCCCCGGGCCTTCCCCGGCCGAGCAGCCCCCCAGCCGCCGCCGCCCCGAGGCGCGGGGAAGTTCGGACCCGCCGGCCGCGGTCTGGGTTTCCTCCCCACGGCCACGCCCCCTCCCCCGCGCGCCCGGCCCCGCAGAGCCCGGTGCCCAGCCCGGGCGGGGGCACAGGCCGCTCAGGACCTGCCACCGTCCTCTCTGCAGGGGGAAGCCGGGGCCAGCGCTGAGCCGGGCGCCCAAGGTCACACTCCCGGGCCCCCAGGCGCGCACAGTTTGCTTCCTCGAGTGGTGGCACTTTAGCCGGAGATGCAGGGAATGGGCAGAGGGCACAGCTCAGGGGCTGGCCTCCCGCCCGGGGGGCTCAGGGAGTCCTCCCTGGGCTGACCTGTCACCTGTCCAGCCCACCCCTACCCCAGGGGGCCGGCTCAGTCACGTGGTCTGCTGCCCTTTTGCCCTCATCCCTGGCCTCTGGCCTTTTGTGAGCTGTCTCTGCCCCCTTCCCGCGGGACACAGGGCAGAGGGCCTGGGGCAGGACAGAGGTAGGGCATTGTGTCCGTGGGAACAGTGCCCCCCAGGCCCGGTCAAGCCGTTTCCTCACTCTCTGGGCACGAGTCCCGGCCAGGCACGGGGCCCAGACCTGGACTGGGCCCTGCTCAGGGCAGAGAAGGGAGGGGACCCGAGAGCCCTATGTAGTGCCAGCGGCCGTCCAGCTGCCCCTGCCCTTCAGAGTCTGCTCCCTGGCTCTTTGTGCCGGGTCTGGCCCTACCCACTTTCAAAAGCCGAGGAGAAGGCAGCTCATTGGCTGGACACAGAGGTGGGTGGGTGCAGCCAATGGGCTGGGGAGGGAGCCGCGCCTCGTTGGGGATGAAGGGGAGGTGCCCTCTCTTCGCAGGGGACTGGAGGTGGAGCTCAAGTTGATTGACCCCTGTGGTCCCGGAGTGGCCGGGCTCTTCCAGGTCGGGCAGAGAGCACCTGACTGCGTGCAGTGATCACATGGGTGCCTGCCCTGGGCCAGGGCAGGGGGTGCAGAGATACCTGGCCAGGGACTGTCCCAGTGGGGACTGGGAGCCCTGCTTGTCCTCTGTCAGAGAACAACCACCCAGGGTGGTGGCAAGGAAGCAAGGGGCACAGACACTCCCGCAGCTGCAGCTGTTGCTGGGACTCTCCACTGGCCTCCTGCGCCTTGGTGCCACTGGAAACCCCTGGGTTTCCAGGTTGAGGCTGCAGTAGCGTCTTTGCCTGGAGCTGGGCTCCCCATTTATTCATTCATTCATTCGTTCATTTTTGGAATCTGGAAGGAGCATCTTCTGTGATGCCGGCACTGTCTGGTGCTGGGGATTTAGCCCTGAGCCAAGGACTCTGCCCTCATGGAGGGGGTGTGGGGGAGAGCAGTGTGGAGAATGATCAAGCTGATGAGACAATGGCAGGTAGAGGCCAGTGTGTGAAGAGACCACGGGGCAGATGGACACTGAGCTCGTGTCCAGTGTGGGGGGACAGTATTCTGGGGAGGGTGGACTTTCCTAGGTTCCCCCCACACTCAGTGTGAAGCTTCTGGCAGGTGTGAGATGGTAACTTGCAAGGGTGAGATGGAGCGAGACCTCCGTTTGTTTTAGTTGTGACAAAATTACCCCAGACCTTAGTGTCTTAAGGCAGTGGACACCCGTGACCTCGCCATCTCTGAGAGCCGTGAAATGGGAGTCACTTAGCTGGGTGACGGGCTGCCATCGCTTGGGGCTGGGTGAACCTTTCTCGGACGCTCAGGTATGAAATAGCTGTGGCTGGAGGCCTGGGTTCTCCCCCACCCTGGCTTCTCCACACGGCTGCTTGAGTGTCCTCACGATGTGGACAGTGGCTTCCCCCTGGAATATAAGGCCTAGGAATGGGGAGTGAAGGTGACCCCGCCGGAACCCCAGTGCCGCTCTGTGGCCCAGTCTTCAAGCCCCACCGGGCTCTGTCTCGTGTGTTTCGTGCTCGGGCCTGGAACCCAGTCTCAGGCTCCAGCCTACCTCAAGGGGAGGGACGTGAGGTCCCGCCTTTCGAAGGAAGGGGATCAAACCACCACACTGTGGGAGGGCTGGGGGCGGCCTCCGTTGGATTCTGCCTCTGGTTGGGGTCTCAGCTTTGGTCCTTGAAGGATTACCCCCTTTTCCTTGCAGTCAATACGCACGTTGATTTGAGTCCCAGCATACAGGGAGGTACGGGGCGGACCTGAGGATAGTCCGTGTACTTTCACATAAGCAGCCGCTGCTCTGCTCAGACAGGAGGGGCACTGCCATCACCTCAGAAGGTTCCTTTGAGCCCTGTGCAGCTAACCGTTTTCTCTCTCTTCAACTTGTCTCTTCTCCAGCTCTGTGAACAGAGGTGTACATTGTGTCTGGCTCCTTTTGCTCACTGTGTAATTTGTCTGCATAACTGGGTGTACCCACAGTTTGTGCCTTTTTATTGCCGTCTGAAACTCCATGTCCTGGAGTTGGCGTGCGGGTTTTCTTGGTGATGGGCAGGGGATTTCCAGCGTGGGACTGCTCTAAATATCCCTGTCACTTGCTGAACAAGTAGTCTCATTTCTCATGTCTGGATGGGCCTCGAAATGCCTGTCTGTCTGTGCCCCACAAGGTCCTCTGTCAAAGACTGGCACGCAGTAACCAGACTCACAGGAGACTGATGTGTAGGCCAGCAGGTTGCTGAGCGTGGTTGGTGGTAGGCCTGGACAGGGCCTCTCCCCATGGAAGCCAAATCATGGTCTTCAGTTTGCTGATCAGAATGTGTGCTCAACCAAAGAGCTGGCTAAGTGATTTTGGAAACTAATCCCACCCCTGCCAGGGAACCCCCTTTGCTGGGCGGTGTGTCTGCAGCACTAAGTGTCTGCTCTGATCCCCGGGTGCAGGGTGCTGGGCGCGGGCGCCTCGGCCCGCAGTCCAGGGAGTCCTCCCGATGGATGGATTCTGCCTGGCGCTTGGCACTCCTTTTCTTTTATTGTTTTCTTTTTCTTTTTTTAAATTTTCATTTTTAAAGATTTATTTATTCATACAAGAATGGGTACAGGCCAGAGGTGTGTGTGGGGGGAGTGGGGTGGGATGAGAGGATTCACCAGAGACAGAGTGGGGAACAGAACAGGCAGATTGACCAAAGTACACTGCTGAGGGGAGCAGCAGGCGAGTCAGGAGAGGTCTGCCGTGCCATGTGGGTAGCTCCCTGGCTTGCTGGGAATCGAACTCGTGCTGCAGAGGCTGCGGATTACTTCATAGGTTGTGTCTTAATAACCCTTGCGCCACCAAGGAGGCCCCTTCATAGGTTGCTTCTTAACCCCTTGCACCACCAGGATGGGCATTCCCTTTCTCTGCCTTCAAGCTGTGCCCCTATCAGCCTCTATGCCCATTCTCCCCTCGGTGGGTGAACACCACCAGACTGGATCTTCTTGGCTAGCAGACAGACAGCCTTTTCGGGGGGGAGACCTTTGCAGTATCTGATTTCATCATCCACAGGTTGATTTCTCGAATTTAATTCCCTCAGTTCTGGGGCACTGCGTTACCCCCCTGGGCTGTGCCTTTTTATCAGAAGTCGTGCTGTCAAGGCAGCTGGGGAGAGAGGGACTTAAGGTCAGGCCTTTGGGGGCTCCAGGGGCTGTGTCACCACAGGAGGGGCCCGGAGAGGGCTGAGGATCCTCATTCAGGCCTGAGGTGGGGACAGAGCTGTGTGCTGCAGAGAATGGACCTTGGTGTCATCCATCAGACACAGTGAGCTCCCTGCCCCTATGCTCCTGGGCCTCGGTTTTCTCACCTATAAAGTGGAACCAACTGTGCCTGATCTGGAGGTTGTGCTCACTCACACTAGAAACCATTTTCTGGGCATCCCTGGTGGTGCAGGGGTTAAAGACAGCACTATGAAGCTATCCCCATCCACTGAAGCATGAGTTCAATCCCCAGCCAGGGAGCAACCCACATGGCGCAGCAGACCTCTCCTGTCTCGCCCGCAGCTCCCCTCAGCAGTGTACTTCAGTGCATCTGCCTGTTCTGCTCCCCGCTCTCTCTGGTGAATCCGCTCACCCCTCTCACCTCTGGCCTGTACCCTAGTTCTTGTATGCATAAATACATAAATCTTAAAAAAGAAACCATTTTCTGACTGGTTGACATTGTCTCCCCAACATGTTCGCAGTGCTGGAGCCCTGCCCCCCTTATAGCCTCAGCCACGTTTCCTCTCCCTGGGGGCTCAAGATGGGGCTCCTGTGTCCGAACCTCAGTTTGCTCTGTCTGGGCCGGGGCAAGGACTGAGTCCGGCCCCTGCAGGCCTTCACGCAGAGCGGGCGGCTCAGCTGACTTGACCGCACTGGAGCGTTTCCAGGCCCACCTGGGAAGACACAGGGAGTGGGGGTTTCTCCCTGCTGTCATCTGGGAACGCAGCCTTGCGCGGTGTGGGTGTGGGTGGAGGGAGGGCATCTGGGGAGAGCTGAAAAGCTCCCACGTGCCACTGGCTTCGATGAACCCCCGCTCGCGGGGACGGTGAGCGCAGGGATTAATGTCCGCGGAGCCTGGCCATTGTCAGCCCTGCCCACCCGGTCCTCTCCGGAAGAGAGGCGCCCCCGGACCCAGCCTGCCCTCACCTTTCTCAACACCATCTTGCAAAGTGCCATAAAGATACTTATTAAAACACATCATTGCGCTCCCCTCGGCCCGCTGCGCTTTATGGCTCTGGCTCGGGCCGCCTCTGCGGCTCCCACCTTGTGCCCGGGAGCCGCTGCGCCGCATCTGGGGTCAGGCCTCCCCATCAAAATTGACTGCAGACATCTTTTACAACACCTGTCTCACTGAGCTGTGAAATACTCTCCTCTCTCTAGAAAAGGAAGGAAATTAAAAGTATGTTGTACATATTTTAGAAGAAAAATAAAACTCACTGTGCTTCCAGTCTGCCTCTGGCCTTCTGGCAGAAAGAGGTAGAAAATGGTATGATTGCGTGGGGTGTCTGCCCCGCCTTGC